GGGGCCTCATAGCAGTGTAAATAGGACAGTCGAACATAATGTGCTGTATAGTTTCGAACTCATTCTTGTTGCACACTGAACATATTTCCTTTGGGTTTATGCGATATGTTGAGCCACGATATGAGAATTTTATAGTATAGTCACTACTTAACCTGAGTTGTGAAATTGATCCAATAACTTGCAGTGAAACCTTCATATGTAAGTAACTTTGAGTTTCATGAGAAGAAGTAAGATATTGGTTGAGGGACAAAAATGTCGAGCGGGTAAGCAGAGAACGGTCTTCATTTTGTAGGTGAGTCAAATATCTGGAAAGTAATGTCTTTTTATTTTGACGGAGTATTCTGCCAGTGATTTCGGACAAAGGTAGTTGAAAGTTTGCAAATTCAAGATGTTGGAGGACTTGCTGGGTCCAATTGTATCTTATGTCTGTAGTATTTTTGAGGTTGAGAAGCCTTTCAAAACATAGTCTGGGGAGACGATCATCTTTCATTTCAAGTAATTTGATGAGCCAATTCAAAACCTGCTTGAATATATTATAGGAAATTTTTACTCTTCCCACTTCAAGTCTTATGGCATACCCTGGAGTATTGGCGGACAGGCATAGAACTTTTTTGAAAAAACTGAGTTGGAGAACAACATCAATGTCTGGAACTGCTGTAAAAAATAATTGTGATCAATGTGAAAATGGATGGAATAGAACAAAGGAAGAATTAGTCAAGTGCAACTCTGAGATTCATAATTGTACGGAAGAATTGAAGGTTCACATAAATCATGGTAACACTGAATTACTCAAAATCAGATCGGATTTGGCAGCATGTATGACAGTGAGTTCAGGATTCAAAATAGAGGCAGATTTATGGGCTTCAAAGTATGCAGATTTGAAATTTTCTAAAGAGAATCATCCAACTACAAACCACAACAACAACAACAACACATTGGGAAATTCGGCATATCTCATCCTAGAATGGAATTATTCTAGTTGTCTTCAAGATATCTAATGGTTCACTCATATCACTTGAATGAGTGTCCCCCTTATCATCTAATGTTCTCAATCTCCTTTTCGCCTTTACCTCTTGTCTACGGTTGATCATATCACCGACCACATTTTCAGGCTTCTTATCAGGAATAGTGTCTGAGATATCATCGTTATCCGATTTCCTCTTGTTTGCACATCTTTTATTCATGGGATAATCGTCAGCAATATCAATATCCATCAAGTCCTTCTTTCCTTCATTATCGTCATCATCATTCTGTGATTTCTTCTTTTTATTCATCTCTTTATGTTGTGCTATCCGTTTAGTTTGTTTAACAATTCTATTTGTTGAAATTCCTTCCTTCAGGATTCGCATACTGCTTTCAATATTTCCTAGAGATTTTTCTAAGATAACCTTCGTTCTTCTTAGAACTACCAGACATTTGTTGACAGCTTGTTATTTTCGTTTTTGATTTTGTTTTTGATTTCCTATTCCCTTTCCCAATTTCACTTTAGCTTTCATAGCACCAGCAACGCCTAAAGCTGCTAATCTCTGTCCATAGGAATTATTCTTCAATCTGAATTGAGCCATTGCCTTGTCTGCCAGAATTCTATCTGCTTTATGACGATGTTTCAGATCTTTTTCTTTGGAATATGCTATATCATGTTCCTTGCAAGCTTCATCTAATTCATTTATACCTTCATCTCCTCGAGCGAGTCTTTTTTCCAATTTTGTCCCAGGACCACAGAATCTATATCCATCAGGTATATGTAACTCGAAAGGTAGTTTATTTATGACAGTTTTCAAAAGCCCATCACCTGAATAGTAGCGTGGCATTTGTGTGTGTGTGTTCATTCAGTGAAATACAGAAAGCAACTGATCATTAAATATCGGAGATAAACTATTTTTTATTCATGAAATAAAAGTTGTTCCACAAAAAAGGCTCTGAATATCGAAGATAATATATTCGAGGGGAATGAGAAATTAAAAAAACATGGAATATTGTTTCCACATACAATGAGGTGTATTATTGTAGGTCCTTCAAACTGCGGTAAGACCAATGTTATGATCAATCTTCTCGAACATAAGAATGGATTGAAATTTGAGAATATCTATAGGGGTAAAGGCGAAAAGGAGATTGAGAACATTAGATGATAAGGGGGACACTCATTCAAGTGATATGAGTGAACCATTAGATATCACAACAACAAATTCTAGAAAGAGAAGTTTGGATACAGAGATAGAAGAGGAAGATAGCAACGATCTCGGAAATAAGAAACTCAAATTCACCTAATTTTCATAAGGATTAAAAGAAAAAGTCAGTATACGAGAGAGTATCCTACAGTTCAGATGGCTCGCAAGAGATCCAAAGGGAATACTAAACGTAGGAATAATAAAAAGAGGAATATCAAGAAGAAACTAATAAAAACGGGGGTATGCTTCGCCAAAGCAATCGGACAAAATAAAAAGCATATCATCTCCCAAAAACCTAAGACTGTAGGTGATGCAGTCAAGGTTGCTCCAAGGTCAACGAAGAAACTCAACATAAAACCAACACGTATTGTTAAAATTCCAAAGAGGGGTGGCTTGTTACCCTTGATTCCGATTTTCGCGGGATTGAGTGCTCTCGGGGCAATCACAGGTGGCGCTGCAGGTGTAGCTAAGGCTGTCACTGATGCCAGATCAGCAAAAATCAATTGGGAGAATACCAACGACATAATAAAACAATGGAAGCTATTGCAATGGGAAAAGGGATGTATTTGAGACCATATAAAACTGGTTTGGGACTTTTTTTGAGATAACCATCCTAGTATTATCCTAATATCAACAAGATGAGGATGAATAAACATAGGGAATCTCGTAAGAGGATACCACTCAATTTCCCACTATCCAATTTGGATATTCTGAAGTACGTTAAAGAACTCAACATTCCCCATTTTAGGGGTGTATTTATGAGGAATGATCTTCCCAAGAGAATCAGAAGGAAAGAACGTGGCGTGATAAACTTGAATAAAAAAGATGGACCGGGGACGCATTGGACCGCCTACAAAAAAATTGGATCACAAATCGTCTATCTTGATAGCTATGGTAATCTGCGACCACCACTGGAAACTTTAGATTACTTCAATTCCAATGGACCTTGTAATATTTTATATAATCACACTGTATATCAAACTTTCAATTCTGTGAATTGCGGTCAGTTATGTTTGACATTTCTCTCTCAATAAAATATAAGCGTAATTTATCTCATTCTTTCAATGACTCTATCACTATCATGACGTGTTCATATACTTTCACCTTATCAGCCAGAGATTCTGTATTATCAGCTGAAATCCATCCACCTATCATTTTAGATGATGATAAAACCCATGTCTTAGGTCTGATTGACTTCGTGACCTACAACACTATCCCCAATATTGATGGGAGAAATAACAGATTCTATGTTGGCAAACACACATTGGTTATTCCTGAAGGTTCCTATGAAATTGAAGACATTGAACGGAATATTATGATGCAATTGGATGAATTGCATGAGAAAGATAGAGAGGAGGAGGGAAAAAAGCTCGAATTTCGAATACTATTATAAAAGAAGAGGAGAAAACTACCGAGATTCAGCTCAAATTGAATGCTAATCGTAATACTCTGAGGTATGAGATAACATGCAACAAACTCATACACTTTGATAAACCTTACTCGATAGCAACTCTGTTAGGTTTCAGCAAGAAGAAATTGGAAGCTAATAAAAAACATATATCAGATTTTCCAATTGATATTTCCAAGGTAAATTCAGTGTGTGTTGAATGTAATTCAACAACAAATTCATATAATAATAACTCTTCCGTTCACACATTGCACATGTTCTATCCATCAGTGCCTAGTGGATTTCGAATAGTGGAGTAAGTGTCAAATGTCATTTATCTACCAATCAATTCCAAATACATTGATGAAATAATTCTCAGAGTAGTAGATCAAACTGAAACCTTAATTAATTTCCAAAAGGAAGTCATAACAGTCAGGTTGCACTTGAAAGAGCTCTAGTGGATATGGTGTTTCGCTATAATATTCCAATGTCATCATCAACAATGGGTCAGGAAACGCGTTCTCCATCAATCAAAAGTATCAGTCCGAAAGGTGACATCGAACAGTTAACACCTGAGAATCAACAGTTCCTCATTTCACTCGGTTTCAAATTATTATAAAAGACAAAACGAAGACTTTTTACGAATTTTGGTATAACCTAAAATTGGACATCAACTCTGGTCTTAGAAGATTTCTCATTCTCCTAAGGTGTTCCTGTGGAAGAAAAAGTGAAACACAACAAACATGAGTTTCAATATCCTGAATATTGGTGAACATGTGATGATGCACAATGCGATAACGAATTGCGAAATGCACTCTCATCCACCATATGCCAATACAAGCCTAAATAAGTCATTCGAGATACGTGTTCCGATTCAAACGCAGGATATTCACACATTACCATCACGAAGTCACATTTATCTAGAAGGCAGAATTACTGACAGTGGAGATAAAGTGAGTGCTACACTGAACTTCATCAACAATGGTATTGCTTTTCTATTTGATTAAATCCGATATAAAATTGGTGGGTCCGTTGTGGATCGAGTTCGTAATCCTGGAATCACATCAGCTATGAAGGGCTACATTTCTTATACAAATAATAAATGCAATAGATATATAAATGCTGGTTGGAATCATCTTGGTCATCCGGAAATTGTTGATCTTCAAGGGAACTTTAGCATTTGTCTACCACTCAAACATCTATTGGGATTCTGCGAAGATTTCAAGAAAATTCTGGTGAATATTCGGCAAGAACTTGTTCTCATCAGAAGTAGCAATGACATCAATCCTACGATAACCCCCAAGGCAATTCTATGGCGCATTCCACACGTTCAAACGGCAGATGTGGAGAAATTGCGGTTAATCAGGTATATTGAAAAGGGGGGAGATTTAGAGATAGCCTTGCGTTCCTGAGAACTCCACGAATTTTCCATGTTACAATCAACTATGCGTCACTCATGGAATGTCAAAGCATCTAGTCAAATGGAAAAACCGAGATTTGTTATTGTTGGTTTCCAAACAAACAGAGAAAATGACAGTCAAAAAAATAAGAGTCAATTCGATCACTGTAATCTCGCCAATATGAAACTTTACCTGAACTCTGAAGTGTATCCCTATGAGAATTTGAATCTAAATTTCAATAAATATCAATTTTCTGTTATATATGAGATGTATGCACGATTTCAAGAGTCATATCACTACAAAAACTCTGGTGAACCTTGTCTAACACTATCTAAATTTCATGACATAGCACCATTAATTGTAATAGATTGTAGTCGACAAAACGAAACTTTAAAGGCAGGTAGTGTGGATATTTGCCTCGAGTTTGAAACAAATCAAAATATTCCTGCAAACACTTCTGCCTATTGTCTTATATTACATGATCGTCTAGTAAGGTACAACCCTCTCACTAATGTAATAAAAATATCGTAGTGTAGTTGTATGTTCTCCCAACAAAAATCATATACCGTGTTGTATTATAGTTAATAAATAAATATTGACCTATCCCACTGTTTCGGATTCATTTCATGATCATAAACCCAAACAAATAATAGCTATTCTGATGATAAAATCACATAGCCTATACCAATAAACAAATCACAATCTTTATGAGTTATCATTAGTCTCACTTACCAATCAATTTTCATTTTTCCACTGCACAATTCACCTGATGTTGAAGCATAATAAAATCACAGTTTTTATACTATCCTAGGATGATGGATCAACAAATATTTTGTAAAAATATCTGCACATGACTACTTTGTCAGCATGACATTGAAAAAATATAATGTGAAGCTGGATAAACATAATATTAATGATTGCACTCATATCAAACAAAACATGATAAAAGTGTTGACCTCTAGGTCAGCTAGCAAGATATTGGAACTCTGATTATACAGGGATATTCAGTAGGGACTAACTTGGAGAATATATCCGAGGGGAAGATCAGTGTGAACAGGTGAAACAGGGTGAAATGAAAGAAACAGGTGATACAGGTGAAAGATTTAATACAGGGGGACACGTTGAGAAGGTGAAACCAGTAAATTAGGCAAAACAGGTGATTTGAGCAAAAAACAATTAATTAAGTAGGTGACACAGGGAAGACAGGTAGAAAAAAACAGGTGACAAGGTAAATCTTCGGTGACAACACCTCCTGGTCCATTATCGACACTTCTGCACCTCGGAATGTCTGCACAAACCACAACTAAACCCCCCTATTGGCTGTGACAGCTTGAGAACTTGATGGACAGCTTACCAAACTGTCGCAGGACCGCCCCTGATACACTACTAATATGAATATCGGGACTCAAAAAGAGGCAATTTTGAGTTACAATGTGAAGAGACTTCTCCATTGATCGTCTTGATTTCTATCGAATTTCGGGCGAAAAACATACACTTGTCACTCACTTCGAAAACATCAGTCTGCACACTGTATCTCTGTATTCTATCATCTCACATGGATACCTTCGAAGCATATCAGTTCGCATCGAACCTATAAGACGACATCGAAACGCGGATAACGTACACTATAGGTAGAACAAGAAACTTCGACTTCAACTACGTTTACACTGTAACTCCGCATTCTAGCATCTGACATGCCTACAGTTATAGCAGATACGATCGCACTGACCATAGACGACTAACCAAAGACGACTTTGAAGGACTTTGATGGACTTATAACGAGAACAATAGGCGAGTGAATATACTTCGAAAACTTCAGTCTGCACACTTTATATCTGTATTCTATCATCTCACATGGATACCTTTGAAGCATAAACAGTTCGCTACGATCATATGAGACGACATCGAAGCGGGTATAACGCACACAATAGGCAGAACAAGAAACTTCGACTCCGACCATGTTTACACTGTAACTCCGCATTCTAGCATCTGACATGCCTACAGCTATAGCAGATACGATCGCACTGACCATATAAGACGACTCCAAAGGACATATTACGAGAACATTAAGCAAGTGAAGATACATCGACAACATCCGTCTGCACACTGTATCTCTGTATCCTATCATCCCACATGGATTACCTTTGGAGCATATCATTGCACAACAATCCTATAAGACGACATCGAAGCGGGGATGACGCACACAACAGGCAGATTAAGAAACTTCGACTTCGAATATGTTTACACTGTACCTTTGCATTCTAGCATCTGACATGCCTACAGCTCTAGCAGATGCGATGGCACTGACCAAAGTAGACGACTTCGAAGGAGATATAACGGGAACAATAGGGAAGTGGAGATACTTCGACATCAGTCTGCACACTGTTTCTCTGTATTCTATCATCTCACATGGATACCTTTGGGGCATACATGTTCGCAACGATCATAAGAGACGACATCGAAGCGGGTATAATGGACACAATAGGCAGAACAATAAACTTCGACTCCGACTATGTTCACACTGTCACTCCGTATTCTAGCGTCTGACACGCCTACAGCTATAGCAGATACGATCGCAATAACCATATAAGACGACTTCGCAAGACATATAACGAGAACAATAGGCAAGAGAAGATACTTCGACAACATCAGTTCTGCACACTGTATCACTGTATTCTATCATCTCACATGGATACCTTTGGAGCTTGGTAGTTCGCAACGATCATATGAGACGGACATCGAATCGGGCATATCGCACACAACAGGCAGGACAATGAACTTCGACTTCGACTATGTTCACACTGTTACTTTGCGTTCTAGCATCTCACATGCCTACAGTTATAGCAGATACGATCGCACTGACCATGTCAGACGACTTCGAAGGACATATAACGAGAACAATAGGCAAGTAAGGATCCTCCGACAACATCAGTCTGCACACTGTATCTCTGTATTCTATCATCTCACATAGATACCTCTGGAGCATATACGTTCGCAACGATAATATGAAAACGACATCGAAGCTGGTATAAGCACACAACAGGCAGAACAAGAAACTTCGACTTCGACTATGTTCACACTGTTACTTTGCGTTCTAGCAACTGGAATGCCTGAAGTTATAATGGTTACGATCGCACTGACCATATAGGACGACTTCGAAGGACATATAACGAGAACAATAGGCAATTGGAAATACTTCGATAACATCAGTCTGCACACTGTATTTCTGTATTCTATTATATCACATAGATACCTCTGGAGCTTTTATGTTCGCAACGATCATATAAGACGACATCGAATTGGGTTTAACGCACACAACAGGCAGAACAAGAAACTCCGACTTCGACTCTATTCACACTGTTACTTTGCTTCTAGCATCTGACATGCCTACAGTTATAGCAGATACGATCTGCACTGAGCATATGAGACGACTTCGAAGGACTCATAACGAGAACAATAGGCAAGTGAAGATACTCCGAAAACTTCAGTCTGCACACTGTATATCAAGTATTCTATCATCTCACATGGATACCTTCGAAGCATATCAGTTCGCAACGATCATATGAGACGACATCGAAGCGGGTATAACGCACACAACAGGCAGAACAATAAACTTCGACTCCGACTATGTTTACACTGTTACTCCGCATTCTAACATCTGACATGCCTATAGCTATAGCAGATACGATCGCACTGAACATATAAGACGACTCCGAAGGACATATTACGAGAACATCAGGAAGTGGAGATACATCGCAAACATTCCGTCTGAACACTGTATCTCTGTATCCTGACATCCCACATAGATACCTTTGGAGCATATCATTCGCAACAATCCTATGAGACGACATCGAAGCGGAGATAACGCACACAACAGGCAGAACAAAAAACTTCGACTCCGACCATGTTCACACTGTACTTTTGCATTCTATCATCCGACATGCCTACAGCTATAGCAGATTAGAATACAGAGATACAGTGTGCAGACTGATGTTGTCGAAGTATCCTCGCTTGCCTATAAATGTCGTTTCATGTTCACCACAGTCTTCCTTCATGGTCAGTGCGATCTGGTAACATCTTAATCAATTTTTTGGATTGGAATGCCCAGTATATTTGCATATTTTCTGAAGCATTTCTGCTTCAAAAATTCCTGAAAATAGCAAAAATTGCAAAAATTACTGAAAATTGCAAAAATTGCAAAAATTCCGGAAAATAGTAAAAATTTCAAAAAATTCCTAAAAATTGCAAAAATCGCAAAAATGACAAAAATTGCAAAAATTCCTAAGAATTGCAAAAATTTTTGAAAATTGCAAAAATTCCTGGAAATTGTAAAAATTTGAAAAAATAGCTGCAAATAGCAAAAATCGCAAATATGCCTGAAAATTGCAAAAATCGCTAAAATTCCTCAAAATTGTAAACATATCTAAGGTTGGGTTACTAGATCTGGTAACATATCCTAGGTTAGGTTACTAGATCTAGTAACATATCTTAGGTTAGGTTACTAGATCTGGTAACATATCTTAGGTTAGGTTACTAGATCTGGAAACATATCTTAGGTTGGGTTACTAGATCTGGTAACATATCCTAGGGTTAGGTTACTAGATCTAGTAACATATCTTAGGTTAGGTTACTAGATCTGGTAACATATCTTAGGTTGGGTTACTAGATCTGGTAACATATCTTAGGTTGGGTTACTAGATCTGGTAACATATCCTAGGTTAGGTTACTAGATCTAGTAACATATCTAAGGTTAGGTTACTAGATCTGGTAACATATCTTAGGTTGGGTTACTAGATCTGGTAACATATCCTAGGTTAGGTTACTAGATCTAGTAACATATCTTAGGTTAGGTTACCAGATCTGGTAACATCTTAATCAATTTTTTTGATTGGAATGCCCAGTATATTTGCATATTTTCTGAAGCATTTCTGCTTCAAAAATTCCTGAAAATAGCAAAAATTGCAAAAATTACTGAAAATAGTAAAAATTTCAAAAAATTCCTAAGAATTGCAAAAATTTTTGAAAATTGCAGAAATTCCTGAAAATTGTAAAAATTTTAAAAAATTTGAAAAAATTGCTGCAAATAGCAAGAATCGCAAATATGCCTGAAAATTGCAAAAATCGCAAAAATTCCTCAAAATTGTAAACATATCTAAGGTTGGGTTACTAGATCTGGTAACATATACCTAGGTTAGGTTACTAGATCTAGTAACATATCTTAGGTTAGGTTACTAGATCTGGTAACATATCTTAGGTTAGGTTACTAGATCTGGTAACATATCTTAGGTTTGGGTTACTAGATCTGGTAACATATCTTAGGTTGAGTTACTAGATCTGGTAACATAATCCTAGGTTAGGGTTACTAGATCTAGTAACATATCTTAGGTTAGGTTACTAGATCTGGTAACATATCTTAGGTTGGGTTACTAGATCTGGTAACATATCCTAGGTTAGGTTACTAGATCTAGTGACATATCTTAGGTTAGGTTACCAGATCTGGTAACATCTTAATCAATTCTTTGATTGGAATG